GGCGGTGTTTCGTGTTGGTCTCCCGCCAGCCAGCAGGTGTCGCTGCAGCCCCAGCGTTTCAGCCGGTTCCACACTTGGGGGGGCTGCAGCCCGGGCAGGGCTGGGGCAGGGCCGGATCAACCTTTTGTGGGCCTGGCACCAAACATATTTGTGGGGCCCCCGTGGGGGCAGCAGAGCATGATGTAGGGGGGGTCGGTCCCCGGAGCGAGGGGGCCTGGGCTGGGAGCAATGGGGCCTGGCGAGGCGGGGGTCGGTCCCTGGAGCGAGGGGCTGGCCGGGGGCAACGGGGCCTGACATGACAAGGGCGGCCCCGCTCTGCCCAGCCCATGCAGGGCACTATTTACAAACCGGCGGTTAGCAGACGCACAGTGGCCTGCCTGGCCCTGTGCTCCAGCATGCCCCTTCCCTCTGGGGCAGGCCCATGCCGTGCCACACAGCCCCCCTACCCAACACTGGAACACACACACACCCCTGATTCCAGAGCCCCCCTAGCCCTGCTATGCCCAGCAGCCCCCCCAAGCTCTCCCACAAACGCACAGCGCCCTGCACGCCACCACCCCTGCCCACAGCCCCACCACAACTGCCCACCCACCCACACAGACTCCCCATTCCCTTGTGCCCCAACACACAGAGATCTTCCCCACCCCCCTCACAGCTCAGCACCCCCTCAGATTTGCCAGAGACCCACTCCCACACGCCCTGCCTCCAGGCCACATTCTGGGGGGGGGAGGGGGTGAATGGAGGGGTGAGCGGAGGGATGCAGGAAGGGGTGTGGGCGGAGGGATGGAGGAAGGGGTGCGGGGGAGGAATGGAGGGGTGGGTAAAGGGAGGGAAGGAGGAAGGGGTGTGGGGAAGGGATGGAGGAAGGGGTGTGGGCAGGATGGAGGGAGGCGTGGGGGAGAGGGAAGGAGGAAGGGCTGGGTAAAAGGAGGGATGGAGGGGCATGGGGGAGAGGGATGGAGGGGTGTGGGGGAGGGATAGAAGAAGGGCTGGGTAAAGGGATGGTTGGGGGATGTGGGGATGGATAGGGTCGTGGGTAAAGGGAGGGATGGAGAGGTTGGAGGGAGGGAGGGAGTGCTGGGGGCGATGGCTGGATGATGCCCCAGTGCATGCCGGGCCAGGGCAGTGTGGGGTGTGCTGCTCGCTGTGGGGCACCCCGAGTAGGTCCCGTTCAGCCCCCGTACCAAGCAGCCTTCAGCGGGTGAAGGTGCATACCGAGAATAGCTGGTCCCTGACTCACGCTGTGGACGCACCCCGCTTAGCTCATGTCCCCCTCCTCCTGGGACCAATAAACCTCCCTTTCCTGAGAACAGATTGACTCATCCAGGCTAAAAACAGTTGGGGGAGGGGGGGCTGGGACTGGGAGCCAGGACTCCTGGGTTCTCGCCTTGGCTCTGGGAGGGGAGTGGTGCCTAGTGGTTAGATGGGGGGGGGGCGCAGGGAGGCTGGGAGCCAGGACTCCTGGGTTCTCTCCCCAGCTCTGGGAGGGGGTGGGGTCCAGTGGTTAGAGCAGGCGGGGGCTGGGAGCCAGGACTCCTGGGTTCTCTCCTTGGCTCTGAGAGGCTTCTTGGCCCAGAATCAAGGTTCCCACATCCTACATCTGGTCGGGAACCCCACTGCGCTCCCCCCCCACCCCCCCGGAGGCCGAGCAGGGCTCCAGCCGCATTTCTCAGCACAACACGTAAAGACAGAACTGCTCCGGCCCACACAAGACCAGCAGAAATCCCGGGCTGCCTCGGCCCGGGCCTTGCCCATCTGCACATACCCGTCCTCGGGGAGAGGCTGACCTGGCCCTGGCGTGGCAAACTGGCCCGCTGGCCCTCTCACCTGGGAGGCTGGCCGGTGTATTCAGTGCCGTGCCCAGCCTCCTGGCTGGGGTCCGTATCGAACCTTCGCACCCTGGCCACGTCGGCCTGCCCTTGTCCTAGACTTGAGGGTCTTAATGAGGGTCGCTTGTTACCACGCATGCCGGTCGGTTGCCAAGGCAGCTTCGGGGTTAAGCGACCCAAGAACCTGGTATCAAACACCCCCCCTTGAGCCCAGTGGTCCCGGCGCCCCAAAACTCAGGGTGGCTGCCGGGCCATTAGGCCTCAAAGCTTTACATGAACTGTTTACGCCCGTGCCTTATGGCATATAGGTCCAGAGGCTACTGCTGCCACCGCTAGTGGTATGGGCTACAGGTCTAGTGGTCAGAGCGCGGGGGGGCTGGGAGCCAGGACTCCTGGGTTCTCTCCCTGGCTCTGGGAGGAGAGTGGGGTCTAGTGGTTAGAGCAGGGGGGCTGGGAGGACAGGACTCCTGGGTCCTCTCCCTGGCTTTGGGAGGGGAGTGGGGTCTAGTGGTTAGAGCAGGGGGGCTGGGAGGACAGGAGTCCTGGGTCCTCTCCTTGGCTCTGGGAGAGGAGTGGGGTCTAGTGGTTAGAGCAGCAGGAGCTGGGAGCCAGGACTCCTGGGTTCTCTCCCTGGCTCTGGGAGGAGAGTGGGGTCTAGTGGTTAGAGCAGGGGGGCTGGGAGGACAGGACTCCTGGGTCCTCTCCCTGG